AACGATGCTCTGGGACTAACTCGATCCCGAGGTAATGGTCGGTAATCCTCTCAGCATCAATGTTCGACTGCAGATAACTGGATCTAATTGACCCGGCCGAATTGAACACGCGAGAGCCCGCCATCCGGCGAGAATTTTGTTCATTATCTCGTCATACCTCATTTCGAGCGCGACGACGTAGGCACCAGCTTCGTCAAGCACCCTTCGAAGCTGTTCTTCTTGTTCGCCTAGCTGAGCAACCAGCGCCTCGTCCTCCTCGTTGTTGATTATGATGTTACCAGCTTGTTCTTCAAGGCGCCCCAACTGGCCACGAACTCGGCCCTTATAGATCCTCGCCTTCTTCAATTCACTGGCTAATGAATTAGGAGTATTGAATGCTCCAGCCGACTCTATGAATGATGGTCTAAATTGTTCCAGCACTTGGCCCCGTGCTTCGTCACACTCTCCTGCTGCCTGATGGATATCGCCGTCGGTGGGCTCGTTCACACGAAGTTCGGAAGGTGTCGCCATGATGTAACACTTGAACCCAATGAGCCAGTTGGCGCAAATAAACTCTAACTAACAAGGGGGCAGTCGTGCATGGGCCATGAGTCGCAGTGCTCTAACTATGAACGACAACGAATCATCAATGATATCTTAATTTATGCTCGCTCGCCCATTAACACAATCCTCATCATTAGTTGCCCAATGGTGGGAAGCGAGTTGGACGATTTGGTCGTGGTGATTTAGCGTGGTCCATCCCGCTGCGGGATTCCCGCAACACACATGGTACTAACATGTGTGCGATGGACACTCTAGCATGATGTTAGTATGCCTGTTGAACAACAAGTCTGGGAGGGGGAATGGTCGGTGAAACACCTGAGTTAGAGGTGACGACGATACAATAGTCATTAGCTCTGGAGTAGCATGAATGTTGGTAATACTAGAGCGCGCGCAATACTGTGCTTCCTTGGACCGTGTCCAATGAATTGAACATTGAGTAAAACTTCTTTCTTCGGGGATCGTACTCACGGGGATTGAGGCACGCCAGCGGAGAGTAATGATGTAAGTTCAGAAATTCCGCGAGTCAAGATCGGAGTTAGGTTCATCAGTCGGGTCTTACCGAAATCTTAAGTACGTCCCGAGGAACGGGCGTTAGTGGAAGTTCAACTGTGGAACGAACAAACTCCCTTACTCATAGTTCTTAGAAAATAAAGATGGGCAGAATTACGTTACGGGTCACTTTTACGGTTACGATTCAATCTCCGTACCTTTGCTGAAAAAATTGCGGCGCCGTAATGGGTCTTACGGAGATGCAGAAGACAAAATAAGGATTGATAATTCAAGTTGCCTAAATCTACATATTTCATGTGAATGCGCACCCGTAGATGAGGCCGACTTAGCAGTTCCGGGCCAGCCTGGGAATAAGACGGACCGAATTTGCAAAGGAGACGAGTGGTAAATGCGAAAGCAAATGTTACTCTCTCAGCGGTTCGGTTGAATTCGAGCCACAAGAAATGACCTTAACAACTATTTGAGCTATCGTGGAGTGCATTTAATGTACTGCATTACAGCGTACCTT